GGGGAGGGCATGCCCCTTCTAGGACTCTCAATTCATGTTTAAAACCAGCCCTTCATATGCTACTGAGATGGATTTGATAATGCTTTAAAAAATTATATTCTTTAATAATACCTCTTTACAAACTTGGCTACATATGGTGCAGATAGGCAATCTGAAGGCTTTGTGAATAAACAGGATCTTACTCCTTTTTGGTTGTGATCTAATATTTATGGAACACAAGCCATTGAACATATGTCAGATGGTACGGATACCAGATGAATGAGCTGCCCAGTAGCTATTGTGCTAACCTACCCAGCACACCAGATGCTCCTTATACATCCACAGTCCCCTTTCAGGCTATTTTTAGGGTTTCTTTTAATCCCGCTGTTGTAATTATGAATCTTATAAAAATGTTAAATTGTAATATTTATAGCTGTGAAGATGAAGCCCTCTGAAATCTTTTCAAAAGATGTCCAGAGTCCTTTCCAAGAAGCCCTACCACCACTGGGGACCATTCAGGGTATAGATAAAGGTCCATGCTGGGTTGGTAAGGTATCATGTGTCCTTCTTTCCCTGGGAAGTTATGACACTGGGAGATACAAGTCTTAGGATATAAAGAAAGCCTATGAGGAGCTATATAGCACAGAGGCTAAATACATGGGATTCAAATTAGACCCAGTTCAAATTTAGATTCTGTCATTTACAAGCTATATGAACTTGGAAGAGTTACTTAACCTCTCTAAGGCTCTGTTTCTTTAAGTATAAAACAGGTACATTTGGGGATAGTAACTATTGCATCTTTGTGTGTGTGTTGTATCATGCTAAATAACACCTTCTCCCTGTTGCAATCATGTTGTGACCTAACCAGAGATAAAACAAATTGTAGGACAGGTGGAGGTCAGTATGCTCCCTGTATCATGAAGGCAGACATTAAAATACGTGCAATGTCTTTTGGACCGACAGGCTTCACAGCCAGAACTTTCTACTAGGACAGGCCTCCCCTGAGGAGGTAGAGCACAGCGCGTGCTCTCTCAGGAGGGAGAAGGGGGCTCCCCTTGTTGTCACCTGTGCTCTCCTTCAGATTAGTGCCTGTCCTTCAGCTGGCGTAGGGTAGTGGAAAACAGCTGGAGTGTTACACCTGTGGATCCTCTCCACACGGAGTGAAACATCCAGGGAGTGGGGGATCATTGCCCCTAGTAGCAGGAACTTCATAGGGCTTTAGAGAAGATTCTGTGGGAAGAAGTAAGTGTTTGACAGGTTCTGCATTATCAATAAAACATATTGATTGATGTTATTTCTGCAACCATTATCCCTAAGTGTCTGGATTGTGGCAGAGAAATAGAGTAAGGATCACTTGCTGGGCAAAACAGAGGGACATGGAAAATAATCTGTGTTGTCCCATGAGGAAAAAAATAAACAGTTCAGGATATAACCTTTGGACTAAACCAGAGACTGGTGTCTTTACTTAATGGATTGTGTTACTGTTGCCCTGGGACAGAAACCGGCATGAAGATTCTGGGAGGGTAGAAGGAGGCTGGATTTAACATCGTCATGGGGCAGCACAGACCTTAACTAAATGAATGTGAACCGTAAAGATGACATGGACGGGGGACTGAGAAATCCTGCCAGATCATTTCCTCCCAGGATAAAGATTTCTAGTTTTGGACATTTGGTCAATCGATACATATTTGGTTTATTTTTTACTTTCTATTCATGCATTATAATTATATATAATAGTGGGATTTATTGTTATATATTTGTACATGCACACAACATAATTTGGTCAATTTCATTCCCTAGTACCTCTCCTTAGTTTCTTATTTTGAGGTTTGTACTACTTGTTTGGCCCCAAATATTCTTTTCAATTGAACATTAAGCAGGATTCTCCAGAGAAATATAACTAATGGGAGACCTAAATCTATATGAAGATTCATTATATGTAATTAGTTTAGATGTATTACATATAAATATTTATGTTACATATATAACTTATTAATTAACATAAATAATAGATTTTATATATAAAAATTAATTTATTTCAAGGAATGGACTCACATAAGTATTTGCAGGCCAGAGGCCCAGGGAAGCCAGTGGAGTAATTAAGTCTAAGTCTGAGGACCTGAGAATCAGAGAATTGATGATGTGAACCTCAGTCTGAGGGCAGGAAGAAGTGAGATGAGGTGTTCCAGCCAAGCAGTCAGGAAAAAAAGTGGCGAATTCTTCCTCTTCCTTTTGCTCCATTCAGTTCCTCAATGGACTAGATGATGCCCAGTTCCTCTGGGCCTTCCCAATCGGCTTTACTGAGTTCACCTACTCAAATGCTACTCTCACCCAGAAACACCCTCACAGACACACCCAGAAACTGTGTGGACTCCCCATAGCCCACTCAAGTTGACAACACAAAATTAAACATCACAGATTTAGTTTTTCTTAAACTGAAAAATGAAGATACAGGTGCAAGGAAGCACAGCACTTTAGTATTTACCTATAACTCTTTAATTCCATCCCAGCTCTTGTTAATTTCTCAAGATTCTATGAGATTTTTCTAAAGATTTTATTTCTTGCTAGCTCTTAGGTTACTAAAAAATAAGTTTGCTACAAATTTTGAAAGCACCAGTTGTAGAGAGCCTACATCCTGGGAGCAAATTTTTACCCCTCACACATCAGATAGAGCACTAATCTCTAGGGTATACAAAGAACTCAAAAAGCTAAACACCGAAAAAACAAATAACCCAATCAACAAATGGGCCAAGAACCTGAACAGACACTTTTCAGAAGAGGATATACAATTAATCAATAAATATATGTAAAAATGCTCATCATCTCTAGCAATCAGAGAAATGCAAATAAAAACCACTCTAAGATATCATCTCACTTCAGTCAGAATGGCAGCTATTATGAAGACAAACAACAATAAGTGTTGGAGAGGATGTGGGGAAAAAGGTACACTCATACATGGCTGGTGGGACTGCAAATTGGTGCAGCCAATTTGAAAAGCAGTATCGAGATTCCTTTGAAAACTGGGTATGGAACCACCATTTGACCCAGCTATTCCTCTCCTCAGACCATACCCAAAGGACTTAAAAACAGCATACTACAGGGACACAGCCACATCAATGTTTATAGTAGAACAATTCACAATAGCTAAACTGTGGAGCCAATCTAGATGCCCTTCAGTGGATGAATGGATAAAAAAAAATGTGGCATAAATACATAATGGAATATTATTCAGCATTAAAAAAGAACAAAATCATGGCATTTACAGGTAAATGGATGGTGTTGGAGAAGATAGTGCTAAGTGAAGTCAGCCAATCCCAAAAAAACAAATACCGAATGTTTTCTCTGATATAAGGAGGTTGACTCATAGTAGGATTGGGAGGGAGAGCATGGGAGGAATAGATGAATTCTAGATAGGGAAGGTGGGTGGAAGGGAAAGGAAGGGGGCAGGGTATTTGCAAGGATGGTGGAATGTGATGGACATCATTATACATAGTACATGTAAGAAGACTTGAATCGGGTGTCAACATACTTTATATATAAACAGAGATATAAAAATTGTGGTATATATGTGTTTTAAGAATTGTAATGCAAAAAAAAAAATAGCGATTAGATTAGGTAGAGGGAAGTTAAAGGAGGGGAAGGCATGGGATGTGGGGATAAGAAAGGCAGTAGAATGAAACAGACATTATTACTTTATGTATGTATGTGACTGTATGACCAATGTGATTCTACAATATGTATACTCAGAAAAATGAGAAATTATATCCCACCTATGTATTATATATCAAAGTATATAAGAGCATTCTACTGTCATGTATAACAAATCAAAAAAATTAAAAAAAGAAAATTTAAAAAAAGAAAGCACCAGTTGTTTCTTTTCCGTTTTTCCCCAGATTCCCCCTCTGACTTGAGCTCTATATAAACTTTATTTATGGCAACTTTCTAAATTCTTAATTCTTCCTCTAGAAATCATCATTGGAGGCATTTCCTCCTCTTCCTCCTCCATGTTTCCCTTCTTTCCCACTTCTGCTTTCTTCATAGTGGGTTTCAAAGTCTCACTACTAGGTTGATATGAATGCTGTTGGTATAAATAATGTTAAAGGCAACAAATTCAATTCTGTAAGGTTCAAAGGCAACTCACCTGATCTCAAGAAGTTTCCCCGATTGGTAAGTAATTATCTTCTTCTTTCACAAAGTGTAGTGATTTTAAGTGATTGTCAGAAAGAAGTTGGAGAGGAGCTAGGGAATGGACATATGATAATGTGGAAAAATGCTTCAATGATGGGAAAAGCACAGTAAATGTGAGAAAGATAAATATAAAGGAAGCAGCATCAGAATATGCCAATGTTCTGCATATAGAGAGGGTATTTGGGTGCTTTTTGGGTATTTTTGGGAGGCGGTGATTCCAACCCCGACACATACATTCTAGAAAAGAGAACATACGACAAATGAGCATGCTTGCTATGAGGGAATGCCGTACAGTTTTGATGAATCCAAGATAATGCAGAAGGTTCCAATGCTGTCTCACCTGCTCCTCATATTTGCTAAGTGGGAGCTGAGATATAGCTGCTGTGATTAAGGAGAATCAGTCTAATTATGGCTCAGGTGACTGGAAATGAAAACCTGCCAGAGCATTTTGAGGAAGCATATTTCAGAACACCCCGCTCCTACTACCACATATTAAGCAAGCTCTCGAAATTGTAAATCTAATGATACCATGAAGTCTGTTTTGATGTTTAAGTCAATGGGCATTTCACAGTAATGGCTCCACAGTTGAGCAAGCCTATATTTGGTTAACAATTTAGTCTATTTAGAAGTCATGAAATTTCAAGAAAACCGAGAATCTGTCAATTATTGTGGCAGCTGAAATGTTCACTCCATGGAACAAAACAACAGGGCTTATGTCAGAATCATGACTCAACTTTGAAAATTAATGTCATTTTGTTATTCCTCTTAGAAGCCTATCTTTTCCTTTGAGTTGCTCTTCACAGAATCTAAGAGGCTTTGTTGTTGGATTTTAGGGTTTGGCACAATATTCCGTCCTCTTTTATGGCTATTACGACAATAAACGAACGATTGGATGGATGAATTTCAGGTTGCCGCTCTCCTATTTTCTGGTGGGGATTATGTGCATCGGATACAGCTTTCTGGTTGTCCTCAGGGCGTAAGTTGCATTTGTCTCTTCGGAAGTGAATAATGATTTCTGGAATCAAATGGGGAATGAATATGAAAATGAGATATGATTTGTTGCCATTTCATGTCGAGAGGATGCAGGATCTGTAAGAGATGAAATGTAGTTTTAACACCAATAGTGATGTTAGATTATTGTATCATCAAAACAAAAGGATGAACATAAACATAAACCTTTGCCCATCCCACTGGGTCAGACTTATGAGTACCTACCTATCTTGTGTTTAAGTACATTTTTAAACTGGGCCTTTTTGTACTGCAAGGTGGGAATCAATGTTGCCAAAACAGGAAAAGAGCTGCTAACCATTTTTTTTTTCATGCAAAAAGGCTTGCAACTTGCAGAGAATCAGCTCAATAGCCAGAATCTGTTGTTCTCTGTTCATTTTTAAAAGCCAGAACAATCGCTCATCCAAAAGCTTTAGCTGTGTAAGACAGAAGATATGAATAACCCCCAACGAGACCATCATGATCAACTGTATAATCATGTTTTGTCTGAGAAAAGGATTTATTAGAGCATTGGAAAAAATCTCATTGGGGAACCAATAAAAGCAGTTCATTTTTTTCCTCCTGTCTGAAATAAATTTATAATATACCACTTAAGGGTACTGCATAAATTTTGCACAGTTACTTGTGGCTATGAGAAAAAATCCAATCTTTAGCTAATTTTCTGAACTTGCTTGAGAAGATTTGAAACAGCTCAAACAAACTTCATTATTTGACTATAAGCAAGGTGAATGGACATTTTGCCTCATTCACCTAGGAATATGGTGAATGCTAGAGGATCCTAGGGGGATAAAGTATGTGGTAATCTTAAGCAGTGCTTATGACATGGAGCAGCTTATGACAGGCTTTGTGTCCTTTCCCTGCCTTGCTTACAGGTTCTTCTGAAAAAACAAAACAAAACAAAACAAAAACATTATATTCAGTTTTTTCAAGCTCTTTTAGGACTTGAAAAAAGCCCATATCTAAGATATTTATCAACTTGTCCAAGTATAATCAGAGACCCCAAATATAAAATATCTGATCAACTGATATATCACTAGCACATTTCAAAAATCTCAGACATTTTCTGCTCCTCTGATGGTCTTGCTTTTTTGGACTAAAAAGTCAGAGGTACCATTTCCATTATTGAGTTCTCATGAGTATCATTTACATATCGGTTCTTTGGTCTCCACGGTCACTGGGGAAGACTGTCTTTGCACATTTCATTGCTTAGCTTCTTTTAGTGGGTGTGTGCCCAGTTGGGCTCTCAGGTCACTCTGCCTAGGTTCAAATCCAAGCTCTACGATACATGTGTTTATAAGATCATCATCAAATTGCTCAGTCACTTTGTTCTCTTGTTTTCCATCTCTGATTGAGGTTTAATATACATGAGAATGAAATAAGTTAGACATGCCAGAATGTGAAAAGTGTACAACAAATGTTAACCATTTTATTAGAATTATAATTCATAGGTTTACTGAAGAACCAAAATCTGAATGATAGGAGGCCACATGATAGTCCCCACAAAACCGGGTAGTCAATATATTCATACACTTGAACATTAATAGATTTTTATGTCTAATATAACAATTTTTTGCAGATAAATTTAAAGTCTCCAGAGCAGCATTGTACAAGGCAAGTCAGATGTATGATTTAAAAACTTCTAGTAGCCATATTAAAAAATAAGGTAAAATTAATTTTAATTTTTAATAATATAATTTATTTAACCTGATATATCAAAAATATCATCATTTCAACATAAAATTATTATAAATTATGTTTTTGGTTACTAAATCTGAAATCTATCTGTTATGCATTGCACTAGTCACATTTTGGGTGCTCAGTAACCACAAGTTGCTGTTGGTGACTACGTTGGATAAAGTAACTCTAGAGAAGGTGAAAATTTTTCAAATTTATTTAAAGGTCCCAGTTACGATAGCTGGTAGGTACCAACTCCACATTTTCCCCTTCAATGTTATGCATGTTATGCTCCCAAACCAGCCTGGCTTTAGCTCCCCCTTCTGGCATGTATCTTTTGTTTTTTTGTTACTTGATTGGTAAGAGACTCTGCCAGTCATTGGACTATGAAGCAAGATAATTAAAAATCAATGTGACTCCCATCCCAGCTCCAGGAACAATACTGGGTAGAAAAAGAATGGATGAGACATAAATGATTGTATAGAGCCCTTTTATCCTATCTTTCTGTCTCTACATTGTACCCCAATCAAATACACTCTTGGAAGGAATACAAGTGGATTTAAGAGATAGATTACTGAAATTGAATAGAAGGGAATCTGAGTTCTAAAATCAGCTGGGTACCTTGGGGCTTTGTCATCTTGCATGCTGTTAATCTGAGCATCTTCATCTACAAAATGGGGCATATATCTACTTTTAATTATCTTTTTAAAAATACTTTTATTTATTTTTATGTGGTGCTGAGGATCGAATCCAGGGCTTCACATGTGCTAGGCGAGCACTCTACCACTGAGCCACAACCCCAGCCCTATACTTTTAATTATCTAATAGGGAAATTGGAAGGTAAAGTGAGAAAGAAGTCCAAGAAAATAGTTTGAGATTTTAAGATAAGGTGATTGAATTTGTTGGTCTGGCACTCTTCCAGTTTCAGCACTGAAAGCCTTGGATTCTGTTAATCTCCTCAGTCCCAGAGAATGGAATGTTGATCCCCTTAGTTTTAAGCCTCTTCCTTCTCTCTCTTCTTTCCTCCCTCCCTCCCTTCCGTTCCCACCTCCTGCTTTTCCTTCCTCCTTCTTTTCAGTTCTGTTTATGTTCCTAACCACATTAGAAGTTTAGAAGTCTTCATACGTTGTCCTTCATACATTGTCCTCATCAGTTTGAAGTTTAATATCTCAGAGCAAAGGTGGTTTGGTTGCAAAAACCTAATTGTTCCCATTAAAAGTGATGCTGTAAGCTAAAATTTCTGGACTTTCTTGTTGTATTTACAGTAGCATAAACTACTAGAAACAGCTGAATGATTCAGAAACTGCATGTCTTAATGAGAAACACTTTGCTGCCTATCTTATCCCAATAGGTTTTTCTAGGACTTTCCCTATTGCAGGGTTTCCTAGGGTTAGATATATATTTTTCCCTATGTTTGAAAACAGCCTGGAAATATTAATATGCATAGAATAGACTCACAATATCCTCAAATACTTTAATCGTGTCATGTATAACCTCCACATGATGTTCAAATTTGTTCCTGCAGAGTATCTTACATAAATAATAACCCTAGATATAAACTGGATCCAACATGTGTGTATGAAATTTTTAAATTTGGCAAATGGCAATATATTCACCCATATTTCTGAATCTATAACAATAACTATAATTTATATGTGAAATAAGAATGCTTAATGTATCAATATTGCTTTTGACCCTTAAATATTACAAAGGTGCTATTATAACATTTCACAGAAATAAAATGAAATAAAACTCAGAGATACTACTAAACGGCATACCCAAGGTCATTCAACCTTAGGACCTATTTGAACCTAGATTTTTCTAATTCAAAAAATATCTTTTACCCACTACAACTTGCCACTTTCTCTATTTGCTGCTTTTTATATAGATCAAATTATTCCTACTATCAAACTTGAATAGTGAGTTGAGTAGATATTAGTTAGTTATTCCTATATTAAGGAGAAAGTAAGGTTCAGCATATGTTGATGATTTGACTGAGCTCAGATAGCCAGTACTTTACAGAACTGAGCTTTGAATACCCCTCTTTAATTCCAGTCTTATTTTTCCTGGTTTTTGATGAGGATTCTTCTATGTTGATGACAACAAGGACCTGTTTCTAACTTGACTTGGGTGGTCCTTTTCAATTTTAAAAGTGTATACAAGCTTTTTCCTTGTCTACTATTAAACTTCTTTGGAGTTATATGGCCTTGATATGACTCATGTGCCTCCATATTTTATAAAAACCAAGACAATAATTAAACCTATCAAAACCAGGTCTTCTCCTTATATGACACCCACATCTCCCAAGATCACATTAGAATCAAGGCCAACATTACACCCTTCCACCTGGATTTCTATTGCTTCACCCACTTTCTTTTCACTTCTTTTGTACATGCTTATTCCAATAGTGGTGACCTGCCTGGTACCCTGCCCAAACTTTTTGCATGACTCTTGACATCTTTATATGGAGTCTTAATATCAAATATGTTTTTTCTTCCTCCCCTCCATCCTCATCATCAATTAAGCCTCTCTTTATTGAAGGAATCTCCCTCTCTTGTCTATTTAGAGAAAAGCCATCAGAGCCCTTATAGACCCCAGCATAATATTTTATTTCTCAGAATATTTTCTTTGCAAATTCTAATGACTGATATCTCAAATGACAAATTTTAGAACATAGTAGGCTTTGGACGGATAAATGGGGCTGGCTTACAGGGCACAATGTCCTGGCAGATCCCACAATTCATGATTGTCTCCTCTTCCTCAAATGACACTGGCCTTCTTTCAAAAATGCTTAGAGCAGAAAGGCATGGAGGTATGAAAGACTCACAGTCACCAGGTTCCATATCTCATTACTGCTTTTTGAACTGCATCTATGATTATGAAATGCAAAATGAAAAATTCTCCTCCTATAAACATGGGCTAGGGACCATAGTGTCCAATGAATGGCAACAGTTTTTGAAATGAGATGATATGGTCCAAACTGAGCATGATGATAAGATGACAAGACAGAACTGAACTATAATAGCCTGACAAGCATATATGGTGTGTATAGTACCATGCACAAGTACTTATGCTATATGCATTTATTTAATGAGGCGCTTTCCAGTGCTGTTGTCTTCCAAAATGACAATTCGAATATTTTTATTCACTCCTTTAATAACTAATTATGGAGTATCTGCTAAGGGCAGTCTAAGGGAGCTATTTAGCATGTGGGGATTTAAAGTTCTTGCTTTTATGGTGCTTGATTGGGGAAACAGATGGCAAACAAAACAGTAACCAATAGTGTGGTCAATATACTTCCATTTATAATTTTGTATTATCTTTCACAGTCAAATATTTGCCTTGGTTTCTTCTTTCTGAAGAATGTAATACACGCTCTTTCATATCAACCTTGGAATAACTTTCTTTTGAGTATATGTGTGTAGTGATCTCATCCTGTGAACTTCTAAAGTTGTTTCCTGCCTCCATCTCAACCCTCCCTGATTTGATTTTAGCAGAGACTACATGATAGTTGACCTAGCTGGCTTAGGATTTATGGAGGCATGTGTTTGATTAAAAGCCTCCCCATGTACCATAAAATATCCAAATGATCCTTGTGTATAAATGGAGCTGTAGACTTGTGGTCCAAGGCAAAAAAAATCCAGTTTAGAAACTTTAGGCAACAGATAAACAAGCAATTGCCTTCTCCAGCTCCTCTAGAAAAGAAAATGATGCATTGAGATTGTTCTTCATGGATAAAAAAAAAGTTCAAAACTACAGCCTCTTTGAAAATGAAGAAATTTTCATAATTATGTACATTTTTCACTCTATAGACAAGAACCGTGCATGGAGAATTTTATAGCTATCAGGACCATATCTCATTAAAATGGTTACTGGGGAGAGTTAGTCTTTGGTGTCTCCCCCACCCCTTATCCCTTTTAGTGTTCTTTTTCTCATCATTTCCTCATGTCATATGCTCCCTATTTGCCCACCCCACTAGGGTTCCCTTGCCTGAAGGTCATCTTAAGCTATTAGCCTTTGCAGTGATAAAGCACTATTCAGCCTTTACCTGTTGAGTGGAATTTTGCCTAGAGAACCTGCCCATTGATTAATGACAGTGTGGAATATAAATGGTGCAATATTAATCAAGTAAATAATTTTCCCCCTAGGTTCTAGGTTACATCATAAGAACTATCCCATTTCAACCTCGTTTGAACTACAAAAAAAAAAAAGGCATTTTATATGGTTCTTCATTCCTCATGATGTCCTGGGTTGGACATTGGAGTAAAGTCCAACCAGACCTCTTGGCCTATCTCTCTGGTTTTACTACTGGATCATTTGACCAAGGTGTTGAAGCTCAGCCTTCTCATCTAAAAGAAAGAGAATAATTCTGACAGTAAAGACTTTGACTTCCTACTGAGACTTTGAGGAGAATAACTATGAAAAATATGTGTCATTAAAATTTGCAAAGTGTGTAGTGGTGGACTGGTGAAAGGAATAATTATATTTTGACTTTGCATAACATGTTAGCCTGTATAAAATATATAAGCCTCCCGAAAGGGGGGCTAATGGTGGGGCAATCTAGTTTTCCTTAGAAATGCCCGTCAACCTACAATGTCAGCATTATGTCATTATGCTCCTTTTGGTTCCATATCACTAAATTTAGGAAACCCAAACATTGTGGGACTGCTTTTTAGTAGTTCACATAAAATTTTAATTTTGCTCTTTATAGTGATAAGAAAAAAAAGGAAGTGGAGTGTGTGGAAGAGTGGGCTATAGATCTTCAACCACTGTAATAAACTTATAGTAAATGCATTTTAAATTCTCCAAACAAAATGACAGCAACAAAACTTTAAAACATCACTGATTAGAATATATGTACCATTTGAGATTAGAGCATACAAAAATCTTAATTTTTGGTCAGCAGTTGTAGAGTGGATAGAGTTTTTAATGCACTGAATATAATCCCTTTTGGGGAGGAGACTCTAGGGAGAACTAAAATTTACCTAAGAGTTTCTTGACCTGGGTTAATTCATCCACTGACTTCAGAGGGCCTGGGAACCAATTAGGTGTGGAAAAACATGGAAGTCTACACATATATGTATATTTTTTTTCTGTGTGTGGGGGCATACTCAGTGGTTCTCATTAGATTCTTAAAAGTATCCTTATCCCACAAAATGTTAAGAAACAATTCCACGATGTTAATGTGTCATTTAAAAAAATGCAAAATATTTGTCTTTGTGTACCTGTTTAGTTGTTAACATCATCAATGTGTAGTAAACTTTTAATCTTGAAGGTCTATAAAATTAATAGTTTAAAAAGTTCAGCAAACAAAATTTAAAAAATAAAGCTTCTATTTTCTGGTTTGTTAGAACAAATCTGCTGAAAAACATGCGCTTTTAGGTATTGCCTCTGACTTAACTGTGACTATGCCGCTTTGTCACGCCCTTCCTTCCCCTCCCCCTTTCTTTTTCTATTCTGCTGCTGGGTTAAACTCCCTGTTTTGACAGGATGACCAAAAATATTGGTGACGATGGAGGTGGCGATGACAACACTTTCAACTTCAGCTGGAAGATGTTCTGCAGCTGGGACTACCTGATTGGCAACCCCGAAACAGCCGACAACAAATTTAATTCCATCACAATGAACTTTAGGGTAAAGACATGAACTCCTGAAGCATGTTTTTATCTATTTCTAAAAGTAGCATTGAAATAGATAAAAAAAAAAAAAGTAGGGGGGAAAAATAAGCATAGCATTGGAGGCATTCCAGGCAGTCTAGCTAATGAAGTATCTCCATGGTTAGAAAGAAGATAAACTCATCGTTTCTGCCCACTGGATGTGGATGTGGTTTGCAGTATGACCAGGAGGTATTTTATGACCCGTGACAAGCATTATTATCCCTGGAGGAGACTCAAGTGATCCTCCCACCTCAGAGGAGTTTTCTTCTTTAAATGTAGTGATAAAAGAATGGCTACCTGGATGAAAAAGATCAATAATCAGATTCAGATAGTCTAAATAATGGAACAATGCTCACTAAATATTTACAGGCATGAGTTAGCTTAATTTTCAAAATGACTCTAAAGCATTATTTTATAACTTTAAAAATTGTACTGGAAGAATCTTTAATCATGAAGGCTATCCTAGTATTTTAGAGTTTGTTGGCAAGAGTTTTTCCTTCTTCCTTTCATTTGCCATCACTTGACCTGGGTTTGTGGAATTCCAGATTTAGTTTACATTTTTATTTTTTACATTCCTGGGTTCATAAAGCTTTTCATAGCTAAGATTTTTGTTTGTTTCCTGGTTTGTTTTGCTTGGATACAGGAAGCTATAACAGAAGAAAGAGCAGCCCAAGTAGAAGAAAATGTCCACTTGATCAGATTCCTGAGGTTTCTTGCTAACTTCTTCGTGTTCCTAACACTTGGTGCAAGCGGATACCTCATCTTTTGGGCTGTGAAGAGATCCCAGGAATTTGCACAGCAAGATCCTGACACCCTTGGGTGGTGGGAAAAAAATGAAGTTCGTCTCTGCATGTCTTTTATGTGCTTACCACCTGATAATTGCTATTTTGCGGGCTTTGTTTCTGTGGGGGAACATTATATAAGGCCACTCTTCACCTGTCCCTGCATCTTACCTTTGTAGTGAGTCAACCTGATTGCACATTTCCCACACTATCCCAGTTATATTTCCAAATTTGTGCTATTTTTCGTTTTGTGATGTGGTGAAAAATTATAAAAGGAAGAGATTAGAAAGCATATAGTTCAACCACTAGATTTTAGATTTTACAGATGGAATGAGAAATCTCAGGAGATTGGGTGATGGCTTTATGGTCACAAAGTTAGGAGAAGAGTCAGGCTAAGCACCCAGGAGTCTTTCTTTCAAGTTTAACGCTCTTTGCATGATCCCATGTTGCTTTTTTCAAAGATCCCCCTTCTGCCACTGAAAGATCCAGTTTCCTGAGTTTTTTGAAATAGCTATGATAAAGCCCTTGTTCCTACATTTATCTCATTGAAAACATTCAGAATTCCTCCCTGTCTTTGGGCAAGTTTGGGCTTCCCAGTTTTTCAGGAAGCTCAATTGTCCATCTTCCTTCTAGAAGCCTTTCTTCTGCTGCTACTCAAATGAGAAAACCTGGGCTTTTTGCCAAGTTTGCCTTCAGAGTCTCTGTCCACTCAGTGGTAGAGAAAGGAGGATAGAGGTAAATATTTAAAATCGGGAAATCACTGGTCATGAATTGTTGCTGGGGCCTGTTTCCTCCATAAAATGTCCTTGTGTACAATGTGACATCAATTTGAACTTGGGTATTTTTAAAGTATGTGCAGATTTAGATTGAGAGAAGTGTAGACTTCCCACACTGAAACTTCTGCAGAACTTTGCAGACCAAAAAAAAAAAAAAAAAAAAAAAAA